TTTATTTAACATTTTAAAGGACCTAAAAATTAAGATATTTTTGTCAAGAATTTCATATAAAAATAGTATTACATATTTACATTTGTATTTATTTTAAACTGCACATCTGATTTTAAATCAAAAAAGTGACTCCTAAAGAGCATGATCTAGAAACTTAATAATTCAACAATTTTCCGAAATTACTATTGGAATTCAGGGAGTTTGTTTAATTTACCATCTGTTTTAGTCTTACCGTAAGATGTATGAATTTACATCCTCGATTACAAGTTGGTAACAATCAAAATTTGATAAATATTTTTAATAAAGTGATGATAATAAAAGCAATAGGAGGGATGGTTCAGCCTGTTAGTCCACTCTCCACTCATTGTATATACTACTGCTAGAAGTGGTGTTAACACAGAACAACACAGGCATTWWTCAGTGCACTATGCCACTATACTGCCACTGTCAATTAAGGCTAGCTGAAGCAAAAACTTTTTTTTTCAAAATTGTCTACATTAGACAAATAAGAAGTATACCAGAAAGTAACGGTAATTCACTAAACACATTTCTTTATCCATCTATTTTTATTCTTTGAATAWAGACATTAATAATAAATAATAATAAACATTATGTTTTAAATGAACAGACAAAATTGGATTACTTTATTACTTATACAACATATTAAAATGTATAGTACATTATTTGTTATACATTTTAAGGTACATAATGTCCTCGGACTTTATGATAGTTTTTTATTTTTTCAATGTCTACTGTAGGATATTGTTGTTTGACAGCATCCATRTCCATATTTGGATAACGCTTCATCAGATGCATCACATGATTACGATCCCGACTAAAAAAAGTACATACATACATATTAATACATACAATTAAGTTTGCTAATAATTTAGAATTATTATATAATCAGTAATCACATATCATATTCATTATTCAAAATAAATGAAATTACAGAAAAGCTTAGATTATYTTCACTTATAGTGACAGAGAGGTACATACAGATCATCAAATTGTGCAGAAAATTAAACAATGATTAAAAATTGATGGGGAAAAAATACTTTTTGATTTATAATAACATCAATTTTCTTAGAAAAATTGATGTTATTATAAACGTTACGTAGAATACTACACTTTAGTCTGTATTCAGATTCATGATTCTAACAAGTATAGTGATACCAAATATAGTGAGATAAATATAAATATTATGTACATTACAATTTATTTATAATTGAAAATTTCTAAGGATAATGTGATCAGTAAATATTATTACACTTTTTTTAAAAATTAAATACAAAGTATGAATAACTAGAAATAAAATTGATTAAAGAAACTTAGTGCTTCTAATCTTTTTAGTAAATCTTTARTGCTATTATGTGCTTTTTTTTACTATACTCTATTCACTTTTATAATGATATTATGGATTAAGTAAATATTTATTATAATTATTTAATATCCAGATTAAGTACTTACTTTCTCCTTTTTCTATTAGCATTATGTAATTTTTCTCTATACAACCTTTGAAATTTCTCAATGTTTCCATTAACAACATTAAATGTATGTTTAATTCTCCAYTGTCTATTCAAAAATTTTGGTATTAAATGTTCAAATTTACGATAAAAAAAATTCAAGCCTGAAATTAWAATAAAATACAAGATCAATTTTACAAACATAATATACCCACAAAAATTGTATTATATAATACGGACATTGACAAATATAGACTAAATTATAGTTATAGCAAATTAATTAACTTAGAAATATTTTTATATGATTTATAACTTCTTAAGAATTATTATTAAATCATTGTTGAGTTATTTCTAAAAATAATTTATTATTATATTTACCCAATAAATTAGTAACTAGTTGTCCAGGCCTTTCTGCAGATTCTCCAACTTCTAATTTGTAATAAGCTTCATTACGTTCACGCACAACAGTTTCTAAATTATTCATACTTTCTTCAACCTTTKAATAATATAAATAAATATTAATTATATTAAAGATAACAAATAAAAAACTTTATTAATATTATATAATTATTTAAAAAAAACCTTGTCAATACGTTCTGGATTTGGGAATAATTCAAATTGAGCTTTGCATTCGTGTTCCATGGTTAATAACATATTGCGTTCTTTAAGTAATACATACCTACACAATATATAAAGAAAATAATAAGACTAGATAAAGGTAAAAAATTAATAACATATAGTATTTCCATTTATTTAAAATTTTAAAAATCATTTCAACGAAAAGAGCTGAGAGCTTTTCAATATGTATAATAGTTTAAAATAGTTTTTTTTTTTAGATAACATCTAAAATTATCTTTCTTCCTACAGAACTAAAGTCAAGTTTAAATTTTATTGATTATAGGATTAGGATTATTTGAAAGTTGAAACTATCTAAAGTGTTTTCATTAGCATATGGAAAAAGAATAATTAGCACATTCATCAATACATTCCTCACTTCCATTAAAAATTAAAATTACATTTTTATAAATTTTGAGTGCCTAGTTATTATATGAAAATTAATACAATCTGAAATGGTTGGAAATGTATGGTTTAGTATAAAGTTAATCAATTAAAAGATATTATTATACTTCATAGTCAAACATAATAATAATCAATTATCTTGCAATTAGTGATCTAATGGTCCCTTAAACRTGATTAAATGAATGGCTCATAATTAGTAAATCAAATTWTATAGAACCATTAAAAGAATTAAATATTTAGGCAATCTAGTACCGCATAAGTATTTATTATATCATATAAAAATTATAGGTATATTTATTTAAAAAAAAATTGTTTTATTACCAAAGTTTATGTAAATCTTGATTGCTCTTAATGCGCAATTCATCCTTTTTCCATGATCTCCCAACTTTTATTTGTTCAACAGCCCAATTTTTTTTATCGTCGAAAAATTCCATTAAATCTCGATGTACAGTTGAAGTATGAATACCATTTGATCTAATATGCCCATTACATTATTAAAATTAAAGATAACGCAGTTATAATTTATATCATAGACAGGTATATTAAATTAACTATACGTGTTCATAATATTAGGTATAATGAATTACAAGTTAATAGATTAYTTWAATACATATTTCATGATAATTGATGTACCTTAAGTTTGTATGTAATGTGGTGTTTTTAATATATTGGAATATACGACATTTTGATAGAATTCGAAAAGCCATGGTAATATAAATTATAACTACTGTACRACAATGTTATAAAATACTGCAAATCTAAAGTAAGTTATGATCTTATTATAGTATTTATGAAATTAATTCACGAAATACGAATTCTTAATTCTTGTTAGACATGCTGTAAATTGCAAAATATAATAATAAATATAAAATAATTATTTATGCCCTTTATCAGTTATTTAAGCCTTAGTTTGTGATAATAGACACTGTGCAAGCTGCAGCCTRCTGTGGAGCAAGCACAGATATTATGTTTATGTATAATATAATGCTTATTAGTTATTAGTTATTATCACAGRACACAGATATATAAACATGCAAGGTATATATATATATATCTGTGGCATGAAGACTAGAGATAAGGAGGCCAAACTCTGCTGGCTGCCTGCACAAAAATTGGTTCTATAAAACATCGCAGACTAATTTCTCCACCAGTCTGCGTGGCGGTCGAATCCGAGGCTGGCTTGGAGTATAATTAACC